AGTAGCAGTTGTAGTAGTACTAGTACATTATTATTACTGCTGCTACTATTATTAATTATTGTTAGCAATGTTTGGGAATTGCCTTGGCCAAGTTACTCGATCCTTGGCCAAGGCAAGTAACTTGGCCAAGTCCACAACACAAAAGAATGAAAAAAAGTCAAAAGAAGAGTAAATAAAAAATAAAAATTAGTTAAAAAATAAAAAAATAAAAGTGGTAACATGAACCTTTTGAAGATTAAAAAGATGAAGAAAATCTATAAAAAGATGGATTATTGAAAATTTTCATTAAGAACTTGAATATTTCAGAAAAAATTAAGAAAAAGGAAAGAACTTGAAGTTACCACTTATCAAAAAAAAAGGGAAAGAATATGAAAGTTCCCAAATAATCTTAAAAACTATTAAAATTATCACAAAACTTAACTCTAACTAATATAGCGGTGTTCCCTTTTTTGGCAATGTTTATTTAATTTTTATATTTTTTATGATCTTTATAAGGGTGGGGCAAGTTTCTACGGAACTCCCCCCACTCTGTCCGAGCCCGAGTTACTCGGCGGATGACTCGGCCACATCCCATAACACTGATTATTATTATTGTTGTTAGTAGTAGTAGTAGTGGTAGTAGTAGTAGTTATCTACAATTACCATTGAAACCTAATCGTGGTACTATAGCAACATAGTGAACATGGTCTAGTTTTGATGGCTGCTATTGGTTTATTTCCAACGGTACACGATTAGGTTCCAACGGTACCACGATTAAAAACAAGAAGCAAAATTACATTAATGCACAGAACAAGCATTGCTCTGTTGCTAACAACATAGTAGTTTTGATGGCTGCTATTGGTTTATTCTTAAAGGGAAATTAATCTTGACATAACTGTTGCCACTACCCTCTCAACTTGTAAACTTTAATTGCTAGCAACAGAGCAATGCTTGTTCTGTGCATTAATGTAATTTTGCTTCTTGTTTTTGGACTTTATCATTCTTAGCAAAATACAAGTATTCCGATCATCACTCTAAAGCAGACCTTTAAGTGGTAATCCTACAATCCTATCAGTCTCCCATTCTCACCAAGTTTTGAATTTCTTTTCTTTTTCTTTGTTTCAAGACCTGCAGTATAGATCTTAAACTGGGCTACTCAACTCTGCTTCGGGACCCACCATCTCTTATCCGAAGTTTTTTTTTTTTTTTTAATTTAATATTTTTAATCTATGTGTGCAAGGGTATATTTGCAAATCATTCCTTTCAGTATTTCATTGGCAGGCTGTATTAATCCAAGGGGAGCATTTGGTCATTTGAATAGGTCATTCAGTTTTCCAAACTTGCCACCAACTTACTAGAAGATCTTCGTATTTTCAAAAAGAGGCTGTGGAACAATTTTCCGTTCCACGCACTATTCCAATTGGAGGATATGGAGAGGCGTCGAATTTCCAGGATTTTATTGTTGAAAGATAACTTCGACTTGTGTGAATTTTTTTGTTATGCAGCTCCACCTCCATCTCCATCTTGAATTCATCTTGCATGAAAATCCTGGGCTTTGTGTCTCACACCATTCTAACATTTGCATAGTTAGATGCAAACTTTTATTTCATTTCATCCTTCTTTATAACTTTAACTCAGTTAATTCAGTTAAATGTGTTTTCAAGGTTGTGAGTAAACTTAAATCAGAGATGCTACAAACCTATGTGCTGAGTATATCACATATCTGAAAATTTAATCCTCTTCAAGTACACGCCATATTTTCGAAGATTGAACAAACATCTAAAATCAAGTCATATTTGTACCGATAAACCAAAGAAAAAGTCATTTGCTGTAATGCTTCTTTATTCTTTGAATAATATCAAAGAAGGAAATCAGAGTATCAAAACTATTGTTTAGAACTCAGTTTGTTAACACAGCCAGCAAAAGTTTGTAGCAATCACTCTAATCCTCACTAGATGTCTCATCAATGGGAAGGCTGAATCATTTAGGAAATTTTCCCTTACGCAATTGTTTTCAGGGAATTAAATCAAACCATGCCAAAACTATCAATTACTTAACATTTCCACCTTTTATCAAACCACACCTAAAATATCCACTAATCTAGCTCATCATTATGTGACCTTTGATGGGCTGTCTGAAATTAAATCTAAAGAGGATGAGATGTTAAATAATTCATGCCTTGAGTGCTTTTTGATAAATTTAACTTGGTTTTAAGGGCCTCATTATATCAAGAAAGACTCATCTCTGAAACTCTAATCTAGTTTGATGCTTTTGCCTGACCAAAATGGATGGAATCATACATATAACCAAATGCCATAGGAGATTGGAATACCTGCATTTGTTTTTTTTGTGTCTCTGGTTTGTTTTTATCTTTTCTGATTGAAATCGGACTGCATCTTTTTCTTTTTGTTAGTTGATAAGAAAAAGAGGAGTCTGAGCCATCTGTTTCTTCTTTTCTGAATGTTTGAGGCTATATTTGTGTGGAAGTTAGAGGGGAAGCAGCATTTACCATGGATGTGAAATGTGTTTTTGTGACATTACTGTCAATTTTTGAAGTTATTTAACCAATGAGGAATGGGGGTGTCCGTGATTTGGGAATAAGAATGACTGACCTACGTTTTGCGATACTCGGGAATTTAGGTGCTAGTAATTGTGGGCTCTTCGCTCAAAGCTATTGATATATGGGTAGTCAAATTAAGGATTGAACTGAGAAAATCAGTATTTTGGATAGCTGATCCTACTTCTATTTTGTATTTACTTCTTGTGTCTGATTACACAATCTAAGGAAATCATCTATGATTCAAAAATAAGCCTAGAGTCATCGTAGGAAATATCTTTGCACGAAAGCAACTGATAGTCGATATTCAATAACCCTTCTAACTGGTGGGAAACTTATTATTTGCAGGTGTGTCTAAGAGTCTCATTGTTGCAAGTGGGGAACACCAAGAAAATGGTCAACAGCTCGTTGTATGCTTTGGCGAAATGTTGGTCGACTTTGTTCCAACTGTTGGTGGTGTTTCACTAGCTGAAGCACCTGCATTTAAGAAAGCTCCTGGTGGAGCTCCTGCCAATGTTGCTGTTGGTATCTCAAGACTTGGTGGATCATCAGCCTTTATTGGGAAGGTGCTCTTCTGTGATCTCATTATGTCTTTTCTTCACTTTGAACAGAATATAAATTTCACTAGTGGTCCTTTGTGATCATGCATCTATTTGAAACCTCACCGACAACCTGTTGTGTTAATGGTAGTATTACTTCACATGTATTATATCTTCTTATTTTTCTTCCTCTGCATCTGATTATCTCATTACTGTCTAAATTTCTAGGTGGGTGATGATGAGTTTGGTTATATGTTAGCTGATATGTTGAAACAAAACAATGTGGACACCTCAGGTGTCCGCTTTGATCCTGGTGCAAGAACAGCACTGGCATTTGTCACCCTTAGAGCTGATGGTGAGCGTGAATTTATGTTTTTCCGAAATCCAAGTGCTGATATGCTTCTTCTTGAATCAGAACTGGATGTAGACCTTCTTAGGCAGGTAGACTGATCTGGTACTTATTTGCAAATCCTTTACTGTTGTATTATGCCATAGTCATCTTCTTTTCAAATTCAACAACTGCAATATATCCTGATATGGACATCTTTTTGTCAATGCAGGCAACTATCTTCCACTATGGATCTATAAGTTTGATTGCAGAACCCTGCAGGTCAGCACATCTCGCTGCAATGAAGATAGCTAAAAGTTCCGGAAGCATCCTATCCTATGATCCCAATTTGAGGCTGCCACTGTGGCCATCAGCAGAAGCTGCTAGGGAGGGAATCATGAGTATATGGGAAATAGCAGATGTCATAAAGGCACGCTTTTGCAAGTTTAATATTTTCTTACACTTGATGGATAGTTATTATGTAGCGCAACATATAAGTGTGATGGTAATTATTTTCTTTTGCCTGAATTTTCACAAAAATACAGGTTAGTGAGGAAGAAATAGTTTTTTTAACAGAAGGTGAGGATCCTAATGATGATAATGTGGTGTTGAAGAAGCTTTTTCATCCAAACCTCAAACTTCTGCTTGTGACTGAAGGGCCAGAAGGCTGTAGATACTACACAAAGGTCCCAATTCAAAGTATCTTTGTTACAATCAATTAATGCTTATAGCTCATATGCCACATGATATCTGCAGAATCAGATCCTTCATCGTCCTGCAGTTTCATTAAAATTTTGTCCCCCAATACAGTTATTCTCTTGTTCCTCTTTAAGTAATCTTCTCAAATTGTAGCTAAATGAAAAGGGCAAAACTCTCAAAATGTAATAACAAGGCAACACTCTGAAAATAAATACAGAAAATGTCTGACAAGCCATTCTTTTCTTTATTCAGGAGTTTAGAGGAAGAGTTGGAGGTATTAAAGCTGCTGCTGTTGACACAACAGGCGCAGGAGATGCATTTGTCAGTGGCTTACTCTGCAATATGGTATCGAACCTCCAACTGTATCAGGTATTTGTGGCCCACTTTACTATTACACTATTGGAGTTGAACTGTTTCAAAGTACATTATCTTGTATACTTCTTTTAGTGTCGTTTTGTTTTCTCTCTTCAAAAGAATCTATTCAAACTTGTTTTATTTGTATTAATGGATGGTTTTTTAAGCACTCTGACTCTCTACTAACAAAATTCCATGTTTTGTGCTTAGCAATTTATAAGTTTTATGTTCTAGTTAAGTATAAAGGATTAATGCCTCTATTCAGTTGTCATCAGCATTAAGCCTATATTTTCAGTTTCTATTTAATATCCTGAACTTGAATCTATGTCGTGCTGAAGAACTACTTCTAGGATGTTATGTGACATGCGTGGCAATGTTTAGCAGCTTCTTCATTCTAGCCTTGGGATATATTCAAGATTAAACAAATGTTCTCCCAATCTCTTATATCTTTTTTATATGTTTTCCTTTTTATAATTGGACTTATCAAATTATGATATGTTTCCCCTCCAATTTCTTATTTCTACTCCAGGTGGTTGACCATTCCCATGTTTCATTGAAAGATAGTTAGGTGGATGGATATATTTTTTCCAAAAAGGAAGTCATTTTATCTTCAACCATAGTAATCATATAATTCTAATAAATCCTATATTTGAAATCTACCGACTTAATTGACCCTCCATTTAGTCAAATGTGCATGTGATTTTAGTGGGAAAAGTAACGTACTACTCAAAAACCTCCTAGAACGATATTTTTTTCCTGGACCTTGAGAATCCTTCACATGTGGTGCTTCTTCATCGAGCTTTCCAAGAACTCAGGTTCTTTCTTTTTTACTTATTGGAAAGTCTTCATTAGAGAAAATATACGAATGGATTGAACTGTTTTGCGAAGAGGATCTCCAGGTGCTTGTGCTAGGAGTATCTCATTTTCCCTTCCTTGTAGCATATTCTTTTAGTCAATTGATTTCAATGGCTGCTCATGGAGGCTTTATTAAGATTGGAGGCTTTATTGATATTTTTTAACTTCTGAAGGCTTCGAGCTTGAGAAGCTATAGTTGTATATATGGGGTAATAAGTAGTGGATGAGAGCATCATTTTAATGCAGTTCCATGGATTTTGCTAGCCTAAGTGTTGGTCTGGAGAATTTGAGGTTGATGGACAAGGTCTTGTTTGCCAAGTGGTTGTGGAAACTGTGAGGTGAGGTGCAAGTTCCTCAGTGTTTGAATATAGAAATTCTGGAGTGGAAGTGGTGGAAAAGAATTTCAAATTGCGAAAGCTTATTGTATTTATGGTTTTCAAATTAGTGCATAACGTAGCCAAATCCCCACATATCGACAAATAAAACAAAAAAGTACACATTTTTAGTGGAAAGCACCAAAGGTGGAAAGATTCTCCTCTCCTATACTAGTCCATGACACCTATTTGCCGCCATAGTATTTCCTTCTGTTCATAGTTTTGAGAAAATTTCTTCGGCCCTTTATGCCAGCTTATAGACCTAAGAGAACTATCATCAATTATGGCTATGCTCCAAATGCTTGTCCGCATTCACATAGAACTAAGAGAACTATCATCAATTATGGCTATGCTCCAAATGCTTGTCGACTTTCACAATTTTGTACAGCCTCATCTCCAAGTCAAACTCCATTAACATTCCCCATCAGTCCCACAGAGCACTTAAGGTCCCATGGTATTTCTGATAACCACAGCAACTCATATGCTCATGTTCCCTTTTGTTGTCCCATCAAAAGTTGTCCTGATAACTTGTATGGATTGTGGCTTCCTTTCCAGGATACCTTTCTTTAATTTTCCTGACTATTCGCTATCATGCTTTGAGTCTTTTTTTGGTCGAAGTTGGAGGTCCTAAAAAATGATAACTTGTGCTATGATATTAATCCATGTGTGCTTATCTCATGTCTTAATATTCCAGTTGGTAGCCAAGAAGTCGACAACTATGGTTCCATTCCTCTCTTTCTGCTTCTCATAGCTCCCGAGATTTGAAAAAACAAGACAAAGGATTAGACATGACCAAGTCAATGTTAAAGAATACCCACAATACTAGAATATGTCACAACTTCACAAATGTATTTCCATTGGACTGATTTGCGGTTTGCATGTTTATTTTGCTTCATTACATAGCTGAGAAATATTTGGTATAATCCTACCAATGTGTCACAAGTTACCAGTGGTACGAATTCTATTCTTGTAAGCAAGCCAAAAAATTCTAGTGTTGAGGTGGGCCCTGTTTGCTCTGTGCACACTTAGTTTGAGTGCATACACACACGCAATTGGGACACATTGAGTCTAAGAAAATCTTCCAGTGCTTCACTCCTTGATTACTCTGAGATATTTGGGAGATTGAGTATCCTCCCCCTATCTCCATGACACATACATATTTTGAACCTAATGTCATAAGATGACCAACTTATTCAACAATACGTCCATCAGGTTCCTGCTGAGGAAATACTAAAACTCCTACCTTGAAGACAAGGATTTTTAAAGAGACTGTTTTCTTTTTTTGGAGAAGTGAAGTAGTCAAATAGCACGTGTAGTATGATTAATTATCCATTTATGATTCTTCACCTTATGGAGACCAAAAAGAATGGCTAACAACATGAAGAAAGGTTCTTTGTGTGTAGTCCGATTTAAATATTGGTTATGCAAGACAACGTGTGATGTCTACCAAGAAATTTTGAATTTCACTGACTTTGGAGGGAGATCTGGCTTTTTTAAACTAAAAAGTTGATGGCAAAGAGGCTGGCTAACTGTTCCAAGATATGCTATCTATGATTTGATCTAATCTTTTTTCTCTCATCTTTTATGTATATACAGTTTCCCTCTTCTTCGTAAGACATATTGCAAATTTTAAAAAGAGGAAAAATTCTTTGGAAAGACTATGGTATCCTTTGGGCCCGTTAATCCTACAAAATATGGGTTGCATTTCGATAACTATCTCTTGCGGTTGGTGATGAGGATGGAAGCTCAATCCCATATCCTTTCTAACCCTTTTAACTATAATTGCTTTTGAGAAAATTAGGGCCAGAGGAAGAGGCCCATCATCATGCAGTTGGTGCGTGGCTCTGCCAATCCCTGATCATATAAAATAATTATAGGTGCCTTTCCCATTGATACAATTTTTTTATGGCATCCCTACCAGATGATAACAGTACTCAATGGGAATATAATGTGTTTAAGAGCATTTTGTATTATCAAGCACTTGATACTCCCTCTAACATTAACCTCTTGGTTTGCTGGGTGTCAATGTTAGGGTCAGAAAACTTCTACGCACATGCATAAATATTATGTATTGTTATTAAATATGACTGCCAGTTTTGGCCTCCTCTTTACGGACTTGTAATATATATATATAGGTGGCATATGAAAATTGTAAATCTGTGTTTTATGGGCTTTATAAATTATAAATTTGCATGTTGCGAGCCATTGACAATTTTTTGAAATTTCAACATGAACTCCTATCCACTCGTTCATTGCGTTCTGTGCTTTTTACTGTGAGATAATAGTTTTTGTCCAATTTTGTGTTAATTGCCTGAAACTTATGATATGTTCTTAAAAGAATATGATATAATGGTGTTTGCATGCTTGCTTCCTATTTGTTTGCGTTCAAGAACCAAATTATTCTGCAATGGTCTCCCCCAAGTGAGATGGAATCCAATTGTTAGAAAAGTGAGACTTTATGCCAGTAAGGCCCTCCATCTAACAACAGTCTATATGTTTATAGATGATCTATCTTAAAAGTCTTGCTTCAGTAGAAACTCATTTAATGGATGGTTGAAATTCTGGCAATCTGTTATGAGCAATGCATGTTGAAGTAATTGGCTCCTATTGTTTTATTGTTATTACATGCTTCATGTATATGGGTCTGTATATCTTATTTCTTATATAGGAGACACTTTCCAATCGAATTTTTCAATGTCGAACCAAGATTCCTATGCTCATGGCATTTAGTGACATGGTTGGTCAATCTCACATATATAACCCCAACACATTTGTGTACTTGTAGCGTAAATTTCATGTCCATATTTTTATCTACAGGACGAGACGAGATTAAGAGAGGCCCTTCAGTTTGCCAATGCATGTGGTGCGCTCACGGTTACTGAACGAGGTGCGATTCCCGCGATGCCGACACGAGAAGCAGTGCTGCAAGCCTTACCAAAACCTCTTGTATGACTACTAAAACTTACAGTTTGCACTTGTATTCAGTGTTGTTGTGGAAATGCCAATTTATTCTTTCTTCCTCTCATTTTGAAGAAGGGTTGGAACTGGGGAACACCTATGATCTTTTGGTGCTTACATTTCTTTTATAATTACAGGTTAAAGAGAGTAAATCTTAAAAGTTATATGCAAAAGATAGTTCAAAGAACTAGTGCACCTTCTTGTAAGGCTTTCTAAGATTAATTTCAACAAACTTCTAAGACTCAAGTCCATGCATTGGTCATTATGAGGGAATTTGTTGAATAAATCGAAGACGTTCGGACATGGGTTTCAAAAGTATGAGTTGCTTAAAATGGTCCAATTGGATTAGATTGCTTTCTTAGGATCTTAAATGTCTTTTAGCTGATCTAAGCTTTCTTTTTCTTTTTCTTTGTTTTTGGCTAATTTGATCTTGATCAAATTGCTCGGAGTGTTTTGAAATATCATATTAGAACCTCCTAAAAATATGGATTTCATAATAAACCTTCAGCTAAGTATTGTTTTAAGCGGCATGCCAAATTGAGGTAAGATTGCTCGTACTTCCGTACATCACATCTCAGTATCAGAAATCTTTATGATGGTTAGTATAAGGTTGGGTCCCTAATCAATCAAAGTAAGGCGCACCTTCAATTAGTGCTGAAATATGTTGTTTCAGTATCAGAAATCTTTATGATGATCAGATAACTTATTTTCATCTCTAATTACAAATCTAAATATTCAACAATAGTGTAGCTAACAAATTTAAAGATTCAAATTTTGAAGGTTTAAAGTGAAAATTTTCTTTTGCTACTCTGTAATTACTGAGAGAAAAATGGCATTTAAAGCTGAAGAACTTAATGAGATGAATTAGAGAGCAAGAAAAATACGAGGAAATAAGATGTTTACAAGGGAAGAGGATTTGGTCTTAATGAAAATAGGACGTTTACAAGGAAGGGGCATTTGAAATCTTGAAATGAAAATTTTCAAAGGTTTAAAGTGAAATCCCCAATTTTAGGGGGGTCTAATATGATATTTTACCTTTTAATTTTATTTTTATTTTTATTTTCATTAATCATTTTGATGTGAAATTTGGGGTGTGCACAAATGGGATGCCTGATAGAAACAAATTTTATGCAAAATTGATTATTATTTTTTTTTAAACAATTAACGGTAACTTTTCATTGGTGGGATGAAAAATTATTGATTTAATTGTATGCTACATGCAAGAAAAATTACTTTTCATGCAAAATTGATTTGCAGAACAAAAGTTAAATAAAACACCCTTTAGGCAAGACATTGTTCCTGAAAGCTCCCCGAGGTGTCAATTCAATTTGGACGAAATTGAAAATAGGGTCACATGTCTTTTCTATGTCGGTTACATGAGATATTCTTCATAAAAGATTTTGAAAAAGTCTTTAAACTGAGGTCTGTTTTTCTAAATGTATCGTTTCATATTTTTAAAAAGTTCCACATTTGTTTCACACTTTCCATCTAAAGTTTAGAAAGTAATTTTTCAATAAAAATTCTCATTCTTTTGTTAAAAAGTGAAAGAATAAGTTTTTAGGGGGTAGGAACTTAATTTTTCATAATTTTTTTATTGCTCACTATTCACTATGCAGAATATAAATACATAATTATTAGTATTATTAATATGATATAATATAACATTACTAAACATAATATTATATAATCAATATGTGCCGTATAATATAAATTACATTAGTAAAATAAATATAATATAATATAATATATAATATTATATTATAAATAATATATAAATTTATTATATTATAATATTATATATTATATAAAGTAATGATCTTATGAGACCCTCCCACATCCATGAGTGTGGGACCTCAAAGGATCATGATTAAATTTGGCACAGATCTCTAAAAAAAGTCAAGTTCTACACCCATATGAT